TGTCGAGCGCGCGGCTCGGCGGGCTCCAATCTCGTGACAGGCGCAGCCAACACAGGATCGCGCTAGTTTCGTGGCAGGCGCAGTATTTTCTGCATCTGGGTGTGTGTTTGCGTGGCAGGGGCAGCATTTGGTAGCTGTCTAAAGAGACTGGATGTTGTCGAGCGCGCGGCTCGGGGGCTCAATCTGCGTGACAGGCGCAGCACTTTGGAGATGGCTTGCAAATTTCGTGGCAGGCGCTGCTTTTTCTGCATCTGGGTGTGTGTTTGCGTGGCAGGGGCAGCATTTGGTAGGTGTCTAAAGGGACTGGATGTTGTCGAGCGCGCGGCTCGGGGGCTCAATCTGCGTGACAGGCGCAGCACTTTGGAGATGGCTTGCAAATTTCGTGGCAGGCGCAATATGTTCTGCATCTGGGTGTGTGTTTGCGTTGCAGGGGCAGCATTCGGTAGCTGTCTAAAGGGACTGGATGTCTTCGAGCGCGCGGCTCGGGGGCTCAATCTGCGTGACAGGCGCAGCACTTTGGAGACGGGGCATAGATGTCGTGGCAGGCGCGATATTTTCTGCATCTGGGTATGTGTTTGCGTGGCAGGGGCAACATAGGGCAGCATTTGGTAGGTGTCTAAAGGGACTGGATGTTGTCGAGCGCGCGGCTCGGGGGCTCAATCTGCGTGACAGGCGCAGCACTTTGGAGATGGCGCACAGATTTCGTGGCAGGCGCAGTATTTTCTGCATCTGGGTGTGTGTTTGCGTGGCAGGGGCAGCATTTGGTAGCTGTCTAAAGGGACTGGATGTTTCGAGCGCGCGGCTCGGGGGCTCAATCTGCGTGACAGGCGCAGCACTTTGGAGATGGCGCAAGATTTCGTGGCAGGCGCAGTATTTTCTGCATCTGGGTGTGTGTTTGCGTGGCAGGGGCAGCATTTGGTAGGTGTCTAAAGGGACTGGATGTTGTCGAGCGCGCGGCTCGGGGGCTCAATCTGCGTGACAGGCGCAGCACTTTGGAGATGGCTTGCAAATTTCGTGGCAGGCGCTGTATTTCTGCGTGACAGGCGCAGCACTTTGGAGATGGCTTGCAAATTTCGTGGCAGGCGCTGTATTTTGTGCATCTGGTGTGTGTTTGCGTGGCAGGGGCAACATATGGCTGCTGTCTAGAGAGGCTGGATGTTGTGTCGCGCGCGGCTCGGGGGCTCAATCTGCGTGACAGGCGCAGCACTTTGGAGACGGGGCATAGATGTCGTGGCAGGCGCGATATTTTCTGCATCTGGGTATGTGTTTGCGTGGCAGGGGCAACATATGGCAGCTGTCTAAAGGGGCTGGATGTTGTCGAGCGCGCGGCTCGGGGGCTCAATCTGCGTGACAGGCGCAGCACTTTGGAGACGGGGCATAGATTTCGTGGCAGGCGCAGTATTTTCTGCATCTGGGTGTGTGTTTGCGTGGCAGGGGCAACATATGGCTGATGTCTAGAGAGGCTGGATGTTGTGTCGCGCGCGGCTCGGGGGCTCAATCTGCGTGACAGGCGCAGCACTTTCGTCCAGACTCACTTGCACTCATTCACACTCACTCACTCTCACTCAGGCTTATAGACTTCCAGCTCAGGCTTATTAGAGCTCGAGCTCAGGCTTATTAGACTTCCAGCTGTCTGAAGAAGAGGAAGCCGTGAATAATCTAGCGCCTGACTCTGCCTCGCGAGCAAAAAGAAGAGAGCACTCTACTAGTGACCGAGCGCTACCCCGTGGCCACTCACTCACTCACCAGAGAATCATTCACTGAAAAAATGCGCATGTGGGGTTATCCGGTCCTTTAGTTGTAGGCTTCATGTTGATCTGCTAGGGAATACCAACATGTCTCCCCGTCCCCTGGCTGCGACAGCGTCCTGCGGTTTCACTGAGGGCCAGCTGCAGAGGGACTTGCAGCTGCCGCAGGACCAGCTTGAGGCCTCGAGTGAAACGACTTGGTTTCAAGGCAACCTCCCAGCTGAAAATAAAAAGAAGTACCTCAAACCATAGGTGGCAGGGCTGTGGGAAATGGAATCCACGTCTCTGTGATACAACAAAAAGGGCCTCCCAAAGAGCAACCCCCCAGAAAAAGAGGGGATTCCCTTGTATCACAGAAGTGGGGATCAACCCCTTGATCCCACAACCCTAATAGGTGGCCTTTTGGAAAAATCGGTGGCCCTGGTAAATGGCACAAACCCCATCGAAACCAGTGCCATCTATTCTTATCGAAACTAACCTAAAAAGGACACCTACGACTTGAAAATCAGGACACATCCAATCACGGGTAAGGTTCTGGGTATCTTGGCAAGTGGTTTGGAGAAGAGTACCAAACGACTACAAAACGTGACCAACGGTCGTTCAAGCAACAGGTTCAACGAGCATCTGGTTCAACCGTGATTGCTTTTAGAACGACCCCACTTCTGGGCCAAATGAGCATAGTCTAGCTCCTCCAGTAGAGAGGTTAGAATAGGAGTACCAACTTGTTTCCGTAGCCTATTTTGGTAGGGGAACCCTCTCCCACAAAAGAAACAGAGAAAGGGGCACTTAGCTGGTGGACCTATCTTCCAGAATCATTCAAAAGTTGATCCCAAATCTCGTGGAGTGCTTTGTCTGAGGTCCATCCCCCACGGACCTGTCCAGCCCCAAAAGCTCATCTGGCTTTTCCCCCGAGAATGGAACATCGTCAACGGAAATCTCCAGTCAGGCCCCCTGCACCTCTGCCGCCCAGGGATCTAAGAACCGGTTATATTCAGTGCCTCATCTTCAAGCCTCTGTTGTGTCCATATGCCCGTTCCTTCTGGAACTGATTGTTGGTGCCTAGGCCCGCTTGGCCTTCCAAGTCACGGCACAGGCCCATTTTCTGGGTGTGCCCATGCTCATCTCTGGCTGGTGATTCGACGTGCTGCGTCGCCGTATGCGGGAAGCGGCGACGGCCACCAACACAGCCCCGTCACGAGTCACGAGCCGTCCGCTGCCGACGGAAATGACAAATTGGGTACTCTCACCGAATATGACTTCCTCTTTTTTTTTGGGGGGGGGGAGGGGAGGGGGTTTTCCTCCCCAATATGTCATTTTCTGACCTCCCACCCCCCACTTCCATTTTGTCCCTGGCCGAGGGGGGGTTAATTGGAAGGGGCGGGGGGGGGGAGGTTGCGAGGGATTGCCTCCCCCTTATCCAAATTTCATGGGGCTACGTGCGCTCCTTCCACATCCATAAAATGAAACTTAAGGAGGGGGAGGCTGTTCTACCTGCAAAAACCGCTACAATTTGCCCAAAGCGGGATCCCACGCCGCACCCCCCAAGCCGGAAAAAAATGGAATGGACAAATTCCAAAATCTACCTCACCCCCCCCCCCCCCGAGGTGGGGGTGGGGGGCCGACACCACCAAAATCCAATGTCAGTCGCAGACGCAATAAACATTGACCGCTCACACACCATGGATCCCAGGCAAGCCACCATAGTAGGCAACTAGCCAAACATTGAGTCTTTACAGGACAGCTCCCTTGGTTATATATGCTCCGCATTGTCCGGAATTGTGGCAATGTTTGCAGGCAGAAATGGGAAAGGGGGCCTTCAGGTGAATCCCTCTTAAACCAAGGCGAGAACACACTGGGACGAGCCTGGCCAAAACAACGAACATCCTCTGAAACCGTAGCCAGGGAAAAGGAAAGCATCTTGGGTGGGGCAGTGGGCATCAAGCGGACAGGAAAGACTCTAGGACCTCAATGGCAAAGGGGTCAGACCTGGCTAGACAAGCCCGTATAAATTAGAACGGGTCCGCTGCGCTGGGGATATAGCTTGGCGTTTGGGGTACTCAGGGGTACCAGTCGAGCCGCATTGGTGTACCACCTGTTCGCGATCCGCGTCGGCGGCCGCGGCAGGTTGCTTCTCTGCCAAGGACATGGCGCCTAAGCACGTCTCGTGCAAGGATTCAAACCTTACCCACCTGAATACTACTGTGGATGGACGAAATTCATTTCGCACCACTTTGAAGCCATGGGAAACCATTGCTTGTTGATAGTTGCTTGGGAATCATCATTCCAGGGTTTGTTAGGTGGTGCAGGGTTTTGTCCATCCACAGCAGGCTTTGCAAGTGGCGCGCGAGTTTCTACCACAGGCCAAACCCCAACCCCCCCCCCCACGTGCATGGGTTACCAGTTTCAGGGTTACCCCAATTCAGTCCACTTCGGACATCCAGTCCAATGCCCCCGATAAAATAATCGACCGCAGGCTCCAAGGCTTTTCAAAAACATAGAGACCAGCGCCCCGAGCTCCGTTCAGACACGGTGGATTTGCTAGGCCCTCCAGTAGAGAGGTTAGAATAAGGGCACCCACTTTTTTCTGTCGTCTATTTCAGTGGGGGAACCCTCCCAACCAAAAAAGAAACGGCAAAAGTTGGCAACAATTGCTGGGGGACCTATCACCCGGCTTATGAAGTCGAGACGCAAGGCACCAGAAGCAGGATGGCGACCTCAAAGACCTGTGCCTTGGAACTCCGTCAGCCAGGTTAAGCCCGACTCGCGATCGAGTCGGATGGGATGAGTCCGGAGTGATTGGATCGGGTTGGGCGGGCGGGCGGGCGGGCGGATGGAGGGATGGAGGGATGGAGGGGATGGAGGAATGGATGGAAAGATGGATGAAAGCAAGAAAGGAAGAACGTAAGACAAGAAAGAAGAAGGAACAAGACAAAATGAAGACAGGAAGAAGGGGAGGGAAGCATGACTTGTTGCTTCTCAACTTCTCCCGGCCAACAAAATGGAAGGAGGCACCTAACTACCCACGTCAACACCGCCAAAACCATCCAGAAGATACCTACTTGGGCCGCTTGGACCCCAAAAATCTACTTTGCCCCATTTGAGCAGGGCACCATGGGACCCAAGAGAGGGACCCCACCGATTGCGCTCGATTCTTCTCCGTTTCTCTTGGCACCAATCCAAGGCCCGAAAACGGAAGCGGCTGACATCGAGGCAGCACAGGGCCAAGTGCCCTGTTTTGGTTGCTGCGCCTTGCTCAAGACAGTGGGAATCAATGCTTCTGCGGACAGGAAAGACTCTAGGACCTCAAAAATAGAGTATCCACCAGCGCCCGGAAATCAATGAGAGGGATCCAGCTGTATGACTGCGAAAGCACGAGCTGAAAGTCAGCTGGTACACGACTCCCCCGCCTTCTTTGGTCGTGATTTGAACAGCGACCCCCCTCCCGCCCTCCAAACCAAAGTTCCCGGGTTCCCGACGTTTGGAAGGACGACAAGCGACAAGTCTGCTTTGAAGAAAGTGTGGCGAGTGAAAAACGGCTTTGGTGCGGGCCCTGCGTGTTTCAGGGCTCCCTTAACACATCAGCCCCACCAAGAGATACTCACCTTTCATGGCCAAAAAGGTGATGTCTAAAACCACCGAAGAAGGGACATTTTTTGGAATCGACCCCTGCGCATTTCAGTGCTCCCAACGCTCCCGGTGTGGGGCCGAGCCGTTCCTTCCGAGCCGCGCGGGCGGCAAAAAGGGGCATTGTGCATCCCGTCCAGGCCAGCAGCGCAGGAGGACCTAGGCCTTCGCCTCGAGATGCCCAGTGCCCAGGGTGCATGGGAAACCAAGGGGCGTCCCTTTTTGGGTTTAGGGTTTAGGGTTGGTGGAGTCTCTAAAGGAATCGGGGTTCCTTCCCAAAAACAATTAGGGAAGAAAGGGCGGCGGAATCCACTGGGCAACTGGATAAATATTTCAAGAAAGCCCGCAGATCCTTCCAGCTTCCAAGCACTGCCCTACTTGTGTGGCCTTATCTTGACCCCCCACCGCAACTCCTTGGACCCCCCTTTTCGGAAAATTTGCATAAATACCCCTGCCAGCTTGGCTCGGCTCCCAACCAGCTATGCAGTTTAGGCGCTAAGCAGCACCATCTGCATGAGGAGTATGTCCGAAAAAAGGCGATCGCCAAGCCTTGGTGCGCTGCCCAAAAAGTTTCGGGATCTGTGTCAAAACAACTTGACGAGGATTCGAGTTGACGTGGATCTGTGTCAATTTTGACGAGGATTCGCTGGACATCTTCGCATGATAAGTACCTCATGATGTGTCACAATCCACTAGATAGCACACTTCGTTGAGACAACTTTGCAGCGCATATTTTTTATTTCTGTGTCACAAAGCAGATGATGCCTCGTGATCCTTCTACAGTCCCTAGCCCATAAGCAAAAAGAAGGAAGCCGATGCCTGCTAAAAGTGTTCGTTTGTAAGTTTAAGACATTCGCTGGTACGGGTGCTCTCAGGCAGGGCTTTGGCTGGGCTGTTGCAGACAGAACTTGTTTTGCGCGGTCTTGCTTCGAAGCCTCTCTAAATCAAGAAGCTTTAGGCTCCTACATGCATTTGTTTGCAATTCTGTCTTTTGTTCAAGTTCTCTACAAGGAAGATCTTAAACCCCTTGGAATCAGGAAGGCTTCGGCTCCTAGCACGCATGTGTCAATAAAAGAATAAGCTCCAAACAACTCGAGCTTTGGTGCAAACATCGAATACATTCCAGGCAGCGTGGAGGCCAAAATCGTGCTGAGAGGAAAAAGATGAGCCACGCAGTGTGCCAAACACAGACAAATAGACACATGTGTAGGCAGGCAGGTAGGTAGGGTAGGGTAGGGTAGGGTAGGGTAGGGTAGGGTAGGGTAGGGTAGGGTAGAGTAGGGTAGGGCAGGGGAGGGTAGGGTAGGTAGGTAGGTAGGTAGGTAGGCAGGTAGGTAGGTAGGTAGGTGGATAAATACCTAGATAAACAGATAGGTGGGCTAAACTAGAATAGATAGATCAGATCTAAATCGCGCTGCTTCACTCCATTGGCCTGATGACTCCATTGGCAATTTTTCCGATCCAATGAAAACACCACGCCTGGCTGGTGAATCTCCTTCGCAGCCCCGAAAAGGGCTCAAAAATGGTGCAAAAACCCGGTGCAAAAATTGAGTCACAATCAAAACCCGGTGCAAAAATGGTCTACCCACAACCATGCAAGCAATTAAGAAGGCGGATATCCGCAACGATTTCTGGCTGGGACTGCCCCCGAAGCTTCATCTACCCGGGTTTTGAGCACGTGGCTCATGTGTAGCCTGCGACGGCCCGAAAGCTTTGGGGCTCATTTCTAGGGCAGCCTAAAGGTTCAAAGGTTCAAAGGCTCCAAAGGGGTTGATTCCGATGGTCCTTCACATTGGACCATTGGGGAAAGCCGCAACTACAATTCCCACTAGATGGGAAAGGTTACCCATGCTCATTTGCACAAACGGGGTTGATTCCGATTCCATTCTTTTCAACCATCCTTCTTTTCAAAAACCAGATCTGTTTTTTCAGGGTTTGGGGTGGTTTAGAAAGAATCAGAATGGAAATGGAAGGTGCCCCCCCCGATCCAAGCCAATCGCAGTCAAGGGGCATTTGGCCTCTTCGCTCCGCCGCCTCGTACTGACACCAAAAGTACAAGACCACCTCGGACATCCGCGCGATGTGATTTAAGTCGTCTCGGGCTCGGCGTTCCTTATAAATCGGGCCCAGGGCGAGGTCCTCCAGTAGAGAGGTCCCGATTTTTGTCTGTAGTCTGTTATAGTAGGGGAGCCCTCCCCCAAAAAAGGGGGCAAAAGGGCAATAATGGGTAACCTAGAGGGTCTCTGAGCACCGAGCGCGCGACCTGTAAAAAGTTTGGGGCTGGCCAAAGAAAAAAGCGACAGCAACAGCTTCACCTCCCCAGAGAGGAATGGGAGTGACTCAGCTCATTCCGGCCACCCGGACTCAGCACTTCGCTTCTGTATGGCTTGGAACCCCCCGGGGTTCCCCAAAGTGGGCCGCTTGTTCTCCGCGGAACATGCCCACGCTCGCAGGGGAAAAGGTTGCAGTCGGGTGAAAGTAGATGCGCGAGTCCTCCCAGTTGGTTCACCCCCTTCACCCTGTAAAGGTCAGTTCTAGCAACGAGGAAAAGCTAGGAAAGGAAACTGCTGATGTTGGGAGGTCTCTTTGCTGCTACAGCAGCTCCATCACAATCATCCATGAGCCACAAGGCATTTTGGACAACCCTTCAACATGTTCGCTTCAAGGAACCCTCAAGATACAATGTTCGGGTCCAGAGAAAACGCCTAGTAGCTGCCGAGTGCAGCTCAGCGTCAAACCGAGGCGAGCCACCCAAATGGTTCACTTCTGTTTGTCTTCGTTTACCGTGCCAAAAGGGAGCCACCCACTTCAACGCTGACCTTGAAGGGGTTCCAACAAGTGGGTTGTAGGTGCTACACATGATGCTGCGGGAACACGTTTATTAGAACCCGTTGCGGGCCAAGTACGATGGATGTGAAATTTGGCCGACGCGCTCGTCCGACTGCGAGAAGGCAAATGTATTGGATGATACATGCGTCCGACTCAGCTGCTGCGGGCGGATGAGTGGGCCAACGGCTAAGCCGACAAGCCTTGCTTCCCTTCCAGCCCTCCCGAGCTGACGTAGATTGAATCCGTTGCTGTTGACTTCCCTGCAAAAAAAATAATTCACTGTTTGCGGGTTTCGTGGAAAACCCAACTTGATGTCCCAAAAAGTTAAAGGGCCAAGCCATTCGAACCACCCCGCCCGGCTGCTGGCCGCGTCTCCGGCCAGAAGCTGAATCCCCAACAGACCGCAAACCAAGCCCACCGTAAACGCCTAAAAAACGATGAAGCAAACCAAACCAATCTTGAACTAACCCAAAGCCCCCACAAGGCAAACTGAAAGCAATCCTAAGCCCCCTAAACCGAACCCTAAACCCACCCCATCCCAAACCCAACCGAACCATATCCACCCTACACTAACCTAAGCACAAATTGGAGCCCACAATGATGAGCCTGTCACATCCGCGCAGTATTCAGTTCACCTCTAAGTCATGTGGGAATGTTTTTGTTCGGGGATTCCCAAAAAACTTCATTTTGACCCCCCCCCCCCCAAAAAAAAAAAAGAAGACCCACGAGCAAGACAGACCCAAGTGACCAATACCAAAGGCTTGGAACGGCTACAATGCCGCAGTCCCAAACTGAGTCGGCAACTGCCTGGCACCTCACTTCAAGCCCTCCAGTAGCGGGATCTGAGGAAAACGCAAACGCTCCCCAAACACCCTTTGGCTGCTGAACTCCATGTTTCGCCTACCACCACCCCCCCCAACACCCCCCTCAACACCCCCCCCAGAAAAAGAAACACAATGTCTCAGAAGGCCAGAAGGTCAGCCGAATTCCTTTCACAGGAATCCTTTCCGGAATTCCACTCACCGGTGCAAACAGCTGGATTTTGAACAGAACAATTGAAAAGAATAGACCTCGTCGTAGGGATGGGCCAACAACTGGTGATGTTTAAAAGCACGAAACAAAGAGAAATATATGGGTTTGTGAGTTTGGGTGGCCCCCCCTGCTTTCTGGGTGACTTATAATATTTCACCTGAAATAAGCTGGTTGGGGGGGCTATTCCCGACATAAACCACCATTTGGGGTGAATTCGGTCGTGTGAGGTCGTTAGAATTCACCCAGGTTTTGAAGAGCAACCCGACTTTTCGGGTTCTGGTTTGCCGCAAGTCTGAAACAGGCTTCAGCCAACGACCAGAGGCCCCCGCCAGGAAGGCAGTGACGCTAAGCACCTGGCTTCGCATCGGACCCGTTGGCCATCGTTTTTTTGTTTAAGGTTCTCCAGATTTGAGAGGTTGGAATAAGGGTACCAACTTTTTTCTGGACGTCTATTTTAGTACGGGAACCCTCCCAACCAAAAAAGAAACGGTAAAAGGGCACGATCCTGGGGGACCTAGTTTTGGCTTGGCCCTTGAACCGCGCCGAACAGACGCTCCAAAAGCACAGGTCCCATCTAAACGTGGCATGATTCTCCACAAGCTGGGGCCAGGCTCGAGTGCTGGTAAAGATGGTTATGTTACATGGTCAATATCACAATTACGTAATTTCTCGGTTGCTTTCTGCTCCCCTGCTAAAAGTTTAAATTTTAGTGGTTTAGTATGTTTAGTGGTAAAAAAAAAAAAACATTAGTTGGCCAAAAGTTAAAGTCCTAACATCCAAGCAAAATGCACCAAACAATTTGAGCGTATTAACATATCCAGATTATGTACTTGGTATTTCAAAAAAAACAAAAAAACAAAACAGCCCCCATGCGGATGCGGCATGAGTCTCTATGAGCTGGGGCCAGAGAAACACTCACTTGCTGAGTAAGGGGGATTTGTGAAGTCGATGGTTTTGGGATGTGTCCGTCGACACCTGCCAAAGTGACTTAGTTGCCCTGGCAATTGTGGGCGCTGTGGCTTTTGCGCAGCGCCCCCGCGTCCCTGCAATGAACATTTCTCGGGAATCTCTGCGGCGTCATGAGACAAACCCAGCCCCAGGAATCCGGATACGGGGAGTTGCACCCTGTCAAGCCACCAGGTGATTGATCCCCTGTCCAAATCCCATTCTTTAGGGTAGATTTTAAGAAACATTGTTGTCTTTGGAGTAAAAGCCTCAGACAGGGTACAAGAACAACTACAAACAACTTGCCAAGCAAGAACTACAAAGAAGACTAGAAGGTGACAGACAACTGGAAAGAAGAGACCAGATTCAGAAGAAAGATCACACCTACAAGCAGAGCAACATGAAAGACCACACCAACAGGGCAGAGCTCACAACCACAACAACTAATGGAGACACCACCAACAAAGCCAAAGATGCAACTACGACTTCTACCGTACTACCACACAACTCAAGGCGACCATACACAGACCACTCACAGCACAAGAAGACAACCTGGGAAAGACATGGTGAACACTGGATAAGACACTTTGGAGCAGGGTGGCTTGACATTACCTGTGTCGAAACCATCGGGCAGGAAGCGGCAAGTGCTCCGGAATGAAAAAGCAAACCACACCAGGTTCCTCGTTGCGCAGCACGCCGTGTTGCCAGATGATGTCTGGTATCAAACAGCTGACGCGTGTCCACCGGATAGCCTGCTTGCCATGATAAATGGCCCTTCCGCCTCCACATTGATCGCACGTGTCGTTGCTGAAAACATGAATCGGCCCATTGGTCGTCACAGACCGGCAGGCAGTTTTCAGGTCACATGGGCGTCGCAAATGACAAGACGCCGCTTGGCGCAGGCTGGTCATCGCGAAGCCGAGCGGAGCCGGGCCGAGCGGATTCCCAGGACAAGGCTGTCTTCTGCCAGCGCCAACCGGCGCGCATGGAGCACCATACGCAACCTGCAGTTGGCCCTGAAGTTTGCTTATGGATTCCAAGCGCATTTTCCCGACCGCTGATGTCCGCGGCCGGGGGTCACCAAACCTCAGGGCGCTGGGGAGGTCCTGTTGCACCTCAGCGTGTGGGCCCAGCACAAGACCGGCGAATGGTGCCCAAGAGAGAGTGGCCCGACCTGCGCTCGGGGCCTGGCACTTGGGTCTGCACCTCTTGCGACGTCTTGCGGCTGCACCCTCTGCAAAGCCAATCAGCATGAAAGATTTGCATCACCACAGTGTGTGTTTGACATTGACACCGCATCTTCTTACATCCTGCATTAGGTGCCGTTGCCGTATGTGTTTGCATGCGCCATGGTTTGTGATTTGTGCATCAAGATCAGCGCCCCTGCCTGACGCAAACGCATATTGGCTTGACTTAGGCATCCGGTTCAACCCGCAGTTTGTGCATATTCGGCCGTTTTCACCAACGACCAAACGTTGCATGACTTGTTTTTGTCGATTCGTTCCACGCCGCGCCTGCATTGCATCCAGCATCTTGGCATTGTGCTACATCATGACTTACTTGCATTGCAGCGACCAAAATGTGTCGCACTGAGCTTTGCATCAAACATTGTTGCCTTCGTGTGCATCGTGCATTGCTCGCGTGCGACCGACATGAGTCGCACCAAATTCAACCCAGCTGCGTGTCCTGTTGGACACGCGCGCCGCCTTTGGCTGGCGTCATGACAATGGTGGTGCCCATACCAGGTCAAGCATTCCACTTCAGAAGTACATTTGGACATGTGGTGTGTTGTTTTTCGAGGCTGCCCGTCAGGGGGAAACCAGAAGGAAAACCACCCTTGTTTTGGGTCCCCCCCTCCCAATATTTTGCGACGAGCCAGTGTGCCAAAATAGGATCCAAGAAACTGTGGTTTCCTGTTGAATTCCCCCCTGGACCAGGGTGAACAGGGCAAAAGGAAGGAACAAGCAAACACCCTTTTCCGGCGACTGAGCGTGGCTCCACGTTTGCAAGGATGAGCTGTGTTTTTGAACCGACCAGACCAGGTCGTGACCGCGCAATGCAGGGCTCTCCAGTGGAGACCCCATAAGCCAACCGTCAAGGGGCCAAAAGCAGACACATTTTGCAGCACGTCGAGTCGAATCAAACCCTGAGGTTGCAGCTTTGTCAACAAAAATGCCGTTTTGACGAGTTCCTTTCGGCTCAAAAACAAGGCCGGAAGGGCGAAATGTGGCCCGTTGATTCCTTTTTTCTAATTGGGGGGGGGGGGGGGGAATAGGCAAAAAACGTGAAAAGAACATACCCAAAAGCGAAAAGCGTGGTTCGGATCTCCGGGACCACAGGCGTTAATTGGTTTTTCCTGAACCAACAAGTACCGCCTGAAACAGGTTCTGTGTCTTTTGATGGGATAAAGGGTACTTCTCCTCTGGTTGTTGTCAAGAGAAGCTGAAGGGAAACGCAAGTAAGGGGACTGGCCCCTAGCCTTCGCTTCGGCTGAGACCCCATCTTTTGCGTTCTGACGCCGAGAACCTGCACAACAACAAATTGCCCAAAAAAGTCGAAACACTTTTTTTGTCGCCACCCGAAAAAAGAAGCAAACCCCCAAGTCCGTCCGTCCCGGCACCGCAGGCCCCCGTTTTTTCTCCGGCCTGCTTTCGGCAGGACGCTCGACATAGCGCCAAGGTCACAACGAGGCACAGCACGTGGAGCTGCCACTGGCCGCGGTCCTCGGAGAACCCCGACCGCGGCCCTTTTTCCCAGAGAAGCGGCCCGAAAAAAGGGCCTGGTTTAACCAGAAAAAAAAAGGTCCCTGCGACGATGTTTCTGGGCTGCCCTGACATCCCCCGCTGAAAGTTCAACCTTTAGTGGTTTAAATGGAAACTACCACTAAACGCTAAAAGGCTAAAAAGCTAAGGGGATGGCTGGGAGTCACCAAGTTTTGTTTTTTTACAGGGGATTCCCTCAGTATCACGGAAATGTCTCAAACCGCGGTTGCTTTATGGATGGATAGATAGGTAGATAGAACAAAACAACAGATAGGTAGATGAATCGACAGATAGATACAAAGACAGAAAGATACATAGATAGTTAGCTGGATACACAGAGCAGATACTAGATACATAGATTAGATAGATTAGATAGATTGGATGGATGGATGGATGGATGGATGGATGGATGGACGGACGGACGGATGGACGGATGGGCGGATGGGCGGATGGATGGATGGATGGAAAGAAAGAAGAGACAGATACTAAAACAGAAGAGAAAGAAAAAGAAAGACATAATCAGAGAAAGAGACAGAAAGAGAAAGAACAAGAGACAGAGGGAAATAAATAAAGAGAGAGACTTCACAGACAGAAAACGACGAGGACAGAGAGGGAGAGAGAGAGAGAGAGATATACAGAGAGAAAAAGAGAGGTAGAACGAGAAAGAAAAAGAGAAAGAACAAGAAAAAGAGAAAGTGACTTGACTGGACTTGACTTGACTTGACTTGACCTGATTGCTTGCGTGCTTGATTGAATGATTGCTTGCTTCCTTGGTTGGTTGATTGATTGATTGATTTGATTGATTTGATGATTGATGATTTGATTGATTGATTGATTGATTGATTGATTGATTGATTGATTGATTGATTGATTGATTGATTGATTGATTGATTGATTGATTGATTGATTGATTGATTGATTGATTGATTGATTGATTGATTGATTGATTGATTGATTGATTGATTGATTGATTGATTGATTGATTGATTGATTGATTGATTGATTGATTGATTGATTGATTGATTGATTGATTGGATTTATTGATTGATTTGGTTGATTGTTTCAGCGAAAGAGAAAGATAACTATATAGTTCTAATACTTTTGAAACTTTCACCCACCGGCTTCGCTGGCTCTACTGATACGTTCAGATTCAAATGACCCCCGGGTTCAGACACCCGTTGATTTTGATTGGGGGGTGTCCCACTTCGAGTGGGGATTCGGAGAAGCACACCCTCAGAAAGTCTGCAGAGTTTATGAATCCGGGGTCAACAATTCGTTACCCTAAAACTATTTAAACGGTTTTGAAGACCCCAGATTATCGGGCAACCCCTAAATGACAAAATCACCTCCAAACCACCCACCCAAGTCAGGCAACCCGTAATTGACCCCTGTTTCTTGTCCCAAACTGTTGGCTCGGAAAAAAAGAAAAAAGAAAAAAACAACGCAGAGGCGCCAGTACTTGCGCTGCCCGGCAGAAGGCCAGGAGCAGCAGTACTTGGACGCTTGCCCCACACGAGCGGCTCGTGCCTGCGAGCCGCGAACGAGCAACTCGGAGGTTGCGGAAACCTGGTGCGTTTCGGGCTCCAGATGCAAATGGACCTTTTGTTTGAGAAAAACAAAGCACACAAACAGAAAAAAAAAAAAAAAAAAAAAAAAACATAAACATTTAAAAACATGGACATGAAACACAAACCAAATTTCAAAAACATACAAACAACAAAAGCTGCAAGGACGTCGCTTCATGAACCGTGTTGATACTGTAGCCCTAGGTTTCAGGGGCACTTTCCCAAGAAACACGTTGAACTTGGCAAGTATCCTGATTTTCCCAGACTTTCAGTGGGTTTCCAGGAACACTGGCACCGGTGGGTTTGCGGGGAACTCCCCAAAAGAAAGAAGTCTATTGTGTTATTGTTGTGTTGTCTTGGTTGCTCAACTCTCTGACTAGCCGTTCTGCTGGAGAAGATCGAGAACGTAAGCAAACCACATTCTACGGCTCCAAGCAGAATTTCCTCTCTTACCCAGTCTTCAGAGCCTGCTTCCTCACTCCTCGCAACCATCGTTCCCCCATTGATTTTTGACAGTAAACCCAAGGAAAACGGCCGTTTGTTGGGATCAATTGAAGGTTGAAAAGTAAAAACCGAGAAAAACCAGCATTTGTTAGGTTCCCCTAATTCTGTTGACGGGAAACCAAGGAAAACCACCGCTTGTTGGGATCCCAAGAATTACGTTGAAGGTAAAACAGAGAAACAACAGCATTTGTTTGGTTCCCCTAATAATGTTGAAGGGAAACCAAAGGAAAACCACCGCTTGTTGGAATCCCGAATGATATTGAAGGTAAACCAGAGAAAAACAACATTTGCTAGGTTCCCCTATACAATCATGTTGAAGGGAAACCAAAGGAAAACCACCGCTTGTTGGGATACCGAATGATATTGAAGGTAAACCACAGAAAAACCAGCATTTGTTAGGTTCCCCAATTTATTTGGAACATAAACCAAAGGAAAACCGCCGTTTGATGGGTTCGTTTTGGCTTGTTAGGTTCCCCTTAACTTTGAAGGTAAACCACAGGAAAAAAATACTTTGTTGAGTTGTCCGCTTTTGTGCTAACGGTAATTCACCCTTTGTTGAAGACCACCGTTTGTTGGGTTCATTTTGGCTTGTCGGGTTACCCTTTGTTGGGTGTCCCGCTTTTGTGCCGAAGGTATTTCACCCGTTGTTGGGTTCCCCGAATGAAGGCTGAAGGCAGATCACCCTGTGTTGGGCTCCCCGATCTTCTTTCTTCTTTTAAAGGCAAACACCAAAGGAGAACCTGTCAAGGAAAACCCACCGCTTGTTGGGCTCCCCATAGGTGTCCTTTTGGGGCAAATAGATGGCCCTTGTAAATGGAATAAACCCCATCTAAACCAGGGCCATCTATGTTTTAAGCAAACCGGCCAAAAGGGCCACCTATGGGGCTCCCCTTTTTTGAACCAGACCCATTTTCAACCCCGTCGGTGCTAATCTCCTCCCCTGAAGCCTCGCTGGTCCCCATCGCCTCGAAGGGTCCCAAGATGCGGTCGGAGTTTTTGGGGGAAACTTGGGGGAAGCTGCGGGGTGCGGCAAAAAATGAAACACCAAGCTGTGGTTCTGCATCATAGCTGGTCTCTGAAAACATCCTCTCTCTTGCTGAGTGGATGGCCCACAAAAAGTTCAAGCTTTAGATTTACCACTAGAATGGTCTTCCCAAAAAGTTTAAAGTTCATGAACTGACGAAGTGAGTCCTCTTAAAAACGACCCTAGAAAAGGCGAAAGGGAGGGAGTCGGGGCTGCTGGGTTCCCAGATCCTACGGGATTGTGCGAAGCCCGCCACCAAGTCCCCAGTCCAGAAAATGCCCATGCTTGCTTCTTCGCAGTTACTGTCCCCCCAGAATAAACCGTGGCTATCTAGAAGAAACTCGAAGGGTGAAGATTGCCCTTTGGGTTTCCTCCTCCCTTCTGGCTTGGAAATGCCGCTCGAACGTGGCTGTCTGGTTCTGAGGGTACACTTGTGCTGGGGTGCTTGCTTAGTTCTCAGAAGTTTCCGGAATTTTGGGAATCTTAGGAGTTTTAGGAGTGTTAGGAGCTTTAGGAGTTTTGGGAATCTTAGGAGTCTCAGGAACTTTGGGCATCTTAGGCGTTTTAGGAACTTTAGGAACTTTGGGGTTTAGGAGTTTTAAGAATTTTGGGAATTTTCGGAGTTTCATGGATATCTTAGGAATTGCCATTAGGAATTTTCGGATTTTTAGGAGCTTTAGGAATTTTAAGAATTGCCATGTCCTTTTGATGAAATCCGGGCTAGGAATTTTAGGGTTTAGGAATATTAGGAACTGTAGGAAATAGATGGGTTCCCTGTTTTCACGGGGCATAATACCAATGTAAACCAGATTCCAATCTATTTCTAAGCAAACTCACCTAGAAAGGCCACCTATGCTTCAGCTTCCTTCCAATTGAGCTCGGTACCCTTTTGGGGCTTGGGAAAAAAGGGAAACCAAAAAGGATACCACTCATTTTGGAGTCCCCTATTTGAAGACACACCCAATTGGTGGTTTGATTGGCAGTTGGCTTAGGGGGTGGTTCTGCGAATGAGAAAGCGCAAAAAGTCTACTTTTCTCCTCTAGCCCGTGTGGCTTCCTGCATCGAAGAGATCGATCACTTTTTCTTCGTCTTCTCGTCGACCGAAGAATCCGTGTCTTCTCCGTCTTCCAAAGCACGAGGAATGCCGCGAGTTCGCTCGAAGACTGCCAAGCCGGCGTCAACCGTAGCTTGAAGAAACCCGGGCAGCTTGACGTTTGACCACCTCCCGCCCTCTGTGGTGATGGCGATGTGCTTTCCAATATGCGCCAAGTGAGGGACCGCCTTGCCGATCAGGAGAGAGGCGCTGCGATGTTCCCTCCACAAAACCCAGGTGTCCAAATCCCCCTTAATCCAAAGCACCAACTAAGGATTGCCTGATTCTTAAAGGCGTCTTTGGCAACCAAGCTTTTTATTTATCCACTTAGGGGACTTACAAACATGGTCAATGCCCTGCGTGTCCCTTTCGGGCGGTTTCAACCGTCATCTCTTGGCAAACTTGAGGTTCTGTGGGGAAATGTGGGAAGCCCTGAAACTGCCCCTACAAAACACACACTTGCATCAAAAGTCAAAGGCTCAAGATCCAACAGGAGATCAGCCAAACAGTTCCGGGCTTGGTATACGACTAGAGACTGGGCCCGGTGGGGTGTCTTGAAATCGAGGGCCTTGTACTTGCTCGTGGAAAAAGTCCACTTGCCTTTCTGCAATAGACGAGTCTGTCACCTAGAGCCTTCCCCAAGGTCACATTCACTCAACGGTGTTCCAAGAAAAAATACGTGTCCACACCGCTAGTCCATGGTGCTCGCGAAGAACTGTGTTTTTGGTTCCCCACGAGACATAACGGAACTGGGATGCTTTCTGCTCCCCTGCTAAAAGTGACTAACTTTTAGTGGCTTAATTCGGAAAACCCATCAGTTGGCAAAAAAAAGAAGTTAAAGTCCTGACATCCCTTTGAAAAAATGCACCAAGGGAACCTGAGCCCAGGCGTGTTTTTGTTCTTGTCTGCAGCTTGGCGCTTAAGCCCACAGCTTGGCGCCTAGAACAGCCCAAGCTTGGTTGACGCTGGGAGGGGAGCAACATGTTCAATTGTTTAGCAGTTGAGTGGTTGGACTTCAACCACTAAACCACAACTTGCGCAAAAATGTGTCCAATGTGTCCCAACGACAACCACGCAAGGACCGGGTTTCGGAGTTCAGTTCCATGCTGGGCTTCGCGTGTGCTGGCTGGGCTTGGCTTCGGTGGGCAACAGCTCGGTCAGGGAACTTGGCTCTGCTCGCTTCGGCTTGTGAGGCTGCGGGCCTGAAGCATGGGAGTTTGGCTGGGCGCATGGCTGGTGTTCAAGACGAGTTTGGGTCTTAAGCTGGAGTTGCTTTGGGGAGTTTTTTGAGCTTGGTCTTCGGAGGGTTTGGTGGTTTGGGGCCACAGGTCCAGCCCAAACCAGCCAAAACAACCCAACCCTAGCAATCGCCGTGAAGCAAAACACCGTGTTCCAAATGGCCGCGGGCCACTGGGTTTTGGGGGGGGGGGGGGCGGGTTCGCTTCCATAACGATTCCCACGACCTTAAATTCACGGTTGGGGCCATATTTAGATTCCCTCCCGCAAGAAATCGGATTCACTATATAGAGCCCTCAGGACCCTTTTTGGGCCCTCCAATGAAGAACCCCGTCAACACTCCCTCGATCCCCCTGAAAGACACCAAGTTTTGAGTGGAGCCCCCAAAATCTCTGGAAGGAAATGGTCAACCCCGAGTCAACCCCTTCAACATCTTGCAACCAATCCCTTCGGCCGACTCTGATAGCAATCAAACAGGCCCGGGCCCATTCCACCGAAGAGTCTCACGGGCAGGCTCTGAGCCAAAAGAGCTACACCCGCGATCCGGGTTCTGACAATCCAACCTCGCCAGTGAAAAAGCCCTGGCTTGTCTTACTGAAAATGTGGTTGTTTCCCATTAACCCACCACTTAGGGGGTGACTTTGATCAGGGTAAAATAATGAGGCCAGTCTTACATGCACAAGAAGGAATCTGGACTGAACCTCAGTTCCGAAGAAAAGCAGCAAAGGGCTGGATCTGCAACTCGTGGGCCCGGATTTTACTTGGAGATGGAGCCTCTGGACCTCTGCGTGGCTTCGACACGTGGTCAACGTTCAAATCCAAATATGGAGATTAAATCGTGTCTGCCATGATCGTCTTAGTAAAGAGCGGCCATGACTGACCCCTGGCCAAAAAACTGAGACAAGAGCAGCAAAGCGCCACAAACACCGCTTGCTAGGCAATAGCTGGGACGAAACAACGGCCCCGCCTTTTTTGGGCAGTTGGTTTCAAAGGGCTGAACCCCCTTCCCTCAAAAAAGCGGGTAAACAGAAAATGCGCCACTAGATGTCTGGGGCATGGCTGCTTTGTCAGAAGGCGGGATTGATCGACTCCAGAGAAAGCCAGCCAGCCACAGAAAGAACAAGACGACTCTGGGGTTTCAGGAGTGCAGTGTCAACTCTTCGAACAATGGCACAAGAATCGTGGACTAATTTAGAGGTCACGACGCAATCTTTCAATGGACATCAGAGACTCCTGTCCACTTCCCCGTTCTTAACACCCTCAAAGCGCCAGCTTGACTGTTGGGGATGCTCCGATGAATGGTTTCCTTGTGAAACCAAGGCCCTCTTTTCCCCCATCCCCAAGAACGTTCTTGGAGTCTTGATAGAAATATTCCTTAGAAATCGACAGCCTTAGTGATGGCATTTTTTGGGCTCTGAGAATTGCGGGTCCTTGTTCATCTCTGCTCTCTACGCGTCCCCCTCACGCTAACTTTCAACCCAACTCTGGGGACGCGAAATAAGTTCTAACTAATTCGTTCTAGAATGCTGCACACATGATTTTCCTTCAGCGCAAGCTGGAACCAGTCTGATGGACCCCCTTAGGGTCTCCTAACTCTAGTCCATTTCAGTCACCATTAACAAAGTATGATGACCTCAGCTTCCAACCATGGGCTTCTTTTAAGCGTCGATCGCTTCTGCGCTCTCATAAACAGTTTGCCACAAAGACTGGGTGTGTTTCTGCAGGAGGAAACTAAAACATAGGTGGCGTCACTTGTGCCTTTCCCTCACAGAGACAAACAAAGCCACCCCAAGCAAAGCAAACACGACTTGCTCAAACCCAGCCCGATGTCGTTTCACTTGTCGTTGCATGCATGCGTGCCGAACTTGTGAAGCGGCCATGATGCTTCCTGCGCCGGACTGCAACCTCCCCGCGTCGTGGCCCAGCCATCCAAATTGCTGCTTATGTAGACTTGGCACGGCACCGCGAGACCACAAACACACAAAACAACACATCGTGCCAGACTGTTGTCGCATTGAAGACGTCTGGTCGCGATAACTGCCATTTCACACGCGAACTCTGGATCTAAGCACGCCTTTTCTCTTTACGCAAGAACCCCACAGTATTTGGGGCACAAACACACCTAGCTCTCCCGCCAAACAGTGTCGTCTCATTTGTGGCATCAAACATCCCAACCAAGGAAACTTCACACCGTCTATCCAGCTGCCCACCAATCTTGGGGCGTGCTTGGCCTCCATTTTGCCGCTCGGTTGTTGGTTGTTGGGCTCGGAGAATGGTTATTGCGGGGTTCCCAAGGTGCCAGGCAAATCTCATGAAAATTGGTTCTCCATCCAGCGAGATAAAGCAGGCCTGTAGCCAGGGTCCGGTTCGGACGCGGGGATGTGGACCCACGGGTACCTCGTCATTCTTCGCCTCGACAGTCTTCACCTTTTGAGATTCCCACCCAAGGGAAATCCTGGCCCGAGGGAGGGTCCAAAGATGCAAACTGGGGGGGAACCAAGTGCAACCCACAAAAAGGGGGAGCTACAGTGGATGGACAAAATCCTGCACCACTTTGAAACCAGGGGAAACCATTGCTTGTTGGTATTTACAAGGGGAATCATCAGAAATCGGGGTCTCTTGGGTGCGAAATGGATTTCGATCCACAGTATCACCATCTCTCACCTAATTGGTTTCTTGAGAAGCCTCGTGAAGGGCTTCCTCTTGGCTTCTCCCAGGCTTCTCCCCCCCCTTCGGAGGTCAACCATTGACCCCCCACGGGACCCGCGCGTGGCTGCCACTGCCGGTCGATGACCTAAGGTTTTGCTCCAACTGCGCAGGGTCTGGGTGTACTCTTCGGCGATTGAATTCGCCTTTCACGATCTTTCACGTTTGCTGTCTGGAGCCTAGGAGAAACCCGAAGGCTTGAGATGGATAATGTCCCTGGACATTAGCACCCCACAGCCCATTAGCACCCCACAGCCCTTGGCAACACGGCAGCGACGTGCAACGAGAGATCTGCTTGCAAAGTGGTTTCTTGGTGAAAAAGCCGGATTTGACCTGGGACCCACCAAGAGGGTGCCCCTCTTGCTAAAAGGGGATTCCCTTTCACACGGTTTTCTTGGGTTGCCTGGCTGAATGACAACCATTGAAACCGGGCACACAAACTCCGGACAACTGCACGATGCCCAACACGCAAGCAGCAAAAAGGACACATCTCGGGAAAAAAAGGAGTTGACTTTCACTGATGGCTCTCCTGGCTCTCCTCATTGAGAAAACATGATGCGCTTGCACATGTCGCCTTGCTGAATGTAATACTTCGCAGCCTAAATCGCCGAGCTGCTTTTGCCAAACGTTCTATGGCTCAAAGCGAATCCGTCGAATCACTGCCTGACCCAACAACACCTGGCGATCCATAATATGTAGCTAGTTGCTCTGCAGCTGAGTTGGTCCTGAATCGCCTCCCAAGATCTCAAGACTGAACACTTGTTGATAGTCAGTGCCTAGGGAATAGTCGCTGCTTCACAAGGAGGAAAGCTGAAGGTCGCACCAAAGTATCCGAAAAAGTCACGGGAGAGCTGTTGGAGTTCCTATCGCTAGGGTCAAAACCCGAAGCGACCAGCGCGCGTCCGAGTCCCGGGCGTTTTTGCACATCAGCACCGCCAGGTACCGGCCCTCTGCTGCGATAGAGGCATCCGCCTGGTCGAACACCACGAAATCTCGTGGTCTCTGGGGGTTTGGGTGAGCCCCAGGGTTCAACACCCCACTAAAAGAGAAACATGGGTTGGCCCAACTGGGATGACAATCCTTAGGTAAACCATGGTGGTTATATGAACCCAACCATTCTTTACGCTTCAAAGGTGGCTTGAACCCTCGGGGTGAGGTTTGGAACCCCGCGCTGGCGAGGTGCCTCGCTTCGAACAAGTTCTTTGGCAAGAAGATGCGGTATGAAGGGCCGACATCACGGACAATCGTGGATTTTCGTGGGAGAAGCGGGTGCCCTTCTTTGGTAGATGTGCAAGGGGAAACCCCTTCAATGAAGATGGTGCGGAACATAACTCGTGGGATACTAAACTGCCGCATCCCTCAGACAACATTTTCGCTTCAACCTTGGCTCTCAGAAACTTGTTCCAAACTCCGCCCTGGATTCTCACAAACATTCTCAGGGTTCCTTACAAAATCCTACCAAAGCCCTAAAAACCAGGAGTGCTACGTAACACGTCTTCGTACAGTCCGCCTGAAGTTGACTGTGGCCTTCCCTCGAAACGGTGTGTTTCATCTTCAGGTACCTCCCCTTCTAGAGATGAAAAACCGATCCATGGTCGAAAAAACTTTGGCGGTTCTATGTTATTTTGATGGAATCCTGATTTCCAGTGCTCCAAGAATCATGGAAGTGGACGGGAGGTAATTTTACGGTGATGGTTGTCTTCCAAACTCCTTCGGTGCACATGCCGCATGCCTCCTGATATTTTTGCCCACCCATCTACTAACATGGAACGCGACAGGGGAGCCCCCGGTGGGATCCATATTTTGGGACAGGGCTTCCATTTGGTTAAGACCCCTGGAAAAAAAAAATAGACTATTTCCAGTAGTGAAAAGTTAGGGAAAATAAACAAACTCATTTCAGCAAATGGAAGTGACAGGCGGGTACGGGATTTGTTTGCTTGGGAACTGGGTCGATGTCTATCTCTGAGCTGTTGGAACAGCTCCGGCCAGCAGATTCTGCGGCCACTGCCGTCTCATGCCATTTGGCCGTGGGTCAACACCAATCGGATCCCATTTTGGGGTAGGTGAATTCACAACCCATTTTAGTCTATTTGTAGGCGCACCACCCATTTTAGAACCTATTTTAGTTGGGATTGAGATGTTCACTGGGGGTACGGGGTTTTGACCCATAGCCATTTCTCAACCCTCGACTCTAATTGGTGATTTGGGCGGGTGGTCTGAAGGTTGGTGTCTTCCCATTCACCCTCAAGAACCGAATCAAACATACCGCCGCATATGGGTGTGTCTTCTTTCAGGGCACCACCCAAAAAAGGACACACCCATATCCCAATCGGCAACTCCCGGAGTTCCCCCAAATTCTTGTTTTATGGAGTTTGAGTGGCTTGGGTTTTTAAAATGGGGGGAAGAACTGCTCCGCTCGGCGCCCGGCGTAGCATTCCAAGAGCAGCGGGACGAAGCCGGGCTTCGTCCTTGGTGAGGCGAAAGCGAGAAGCCCAAGACTACATTCCCATATCTCGGTGAAAATCCACATGAGTGCATCATTTGCTTGAGTGGTTTTAAAGGGAAACTGCCGGGAATTCCATCCTTTGTGGGTGCACACAAAAATAATATGATTCCGTTTCACATTTAGTCTACCCTATATACTCTCACTTGCGCAATCGCCCATGCACAGCAGCGCGGTGCAGTGGGCGGTCCGGTCAGGCCTTAAGCCGGCCTAGCTAAGTCGGCCGCGACCCTAATTGGTCGGGCCGCTGAAAAAGAAGCCACGCATGAGCGCATGGCACGGAGGGTGTCATTCCCACATCCGATTCGAACGCCCCTTTGAGG